AAAACGATTTCTCGAGTTTTATAAAACGATTCTCGAGCTTTATAAAACGATTTCTCGAGTTTTATAAAACGATTCTCGAGCTTTATAAAACGATTTCTCGGGTTTTATAAAACGATTCTCGAGCTTTATAAAACGATTTCTCGAGCTTTATAAAACGATTTCTCGAGCTTTATAAAACGATTTCTCGAGTTTTATAAAAGATTTTTCCAGTTTTATAAAACGATTCTCGAGCTTTATAAAACAGTTCTTTTTGTATTCTTGCGGAAAGTTTTGGCTATTAATTCCGTTGTACCGATTTTGACCCCAACAAACCTTATCACCATTACATGCAGAGGCAGAAGGTCTTATGTGGGCAATGAAGATGATGATCGACCAAGGCTTTCTCTCGGTTCACTTTGAGACCGACTGTACTCAGATAATTAAGCTGCTGCAGGATTTGGAAGAATGGCCAGCTATGGCAGAGATTATTGAAGATATTCGACTTATTTCTTTGCTTTTTGAAAACTTTTCTATATCTTATATACCCCGTGGTATGAACCAACGAGCGGACTGTCTTGTGAAAGCAGCTCGTGCTCGACTTGAACCTCTTTCTCTTCTTTGTGTTGAGGCTCCTGTTTGGCTGGCTCATGTAGCTAGCCTCTTGGAGTGATTATGGAATAATTTTTTTTTTATGTTAAAAAAAAAAAAATTGACATGTGTGGTCAATGGTCCCTACTTTCTACTTTCCCCTTACTCAACTAGTTGAATCTTTTCGACACAAGTTTAATCCACATCATCAAATTTCATTTTTAACACCTCATTGTAGTGATTCAACTGTTGAATCTTTTATTCAACACTCCCATTGTACATAGTCTAAGGATCATGAATAGAGGAGGAGAAATCTCAGATTCCATCCCGGACGATCTCATCGTCCAGATATTCTCGAGACTGCCTGCAAAGTCAGTTTCGAGGTTTCGTTGCTTGTCGAAGTTGTGGTATTCCATGCTTCACCGTCCATATTTCACAGAGCTGTTTTTTACCAGGTCACGGACTCGTCCACGTCTCTTATTTGTCTTCGTACTAGATGGAAAATTCAGCTTCTTCTCATCTCCCCAGATTCAGCATCCATATGAGAAGTCTTCTCTTGTAGCCCCGGTGGATATTTATATGATGTCCCTCCACTCTGGTGGCTTCACCTCTTGTTTAATCTATTTCTGTAGTATGTATTTCTGGGAAAAGAGGGGTATGATGAGTACAAAGCCAGTGATATTTAACCCTAGTATGCAACACTACACTATGTTAGATTCACTAGACCGAGAATGAGAAACCGCAAATACATGGGAAGCTTTTTAGGGTTTGATCAGATTGACAAGCAGTTCAAGGTATTACGGTTCAGGATGAATGATACATCTGCTTATAAAATTCGGACATTAGGAACTGGGAAAATGAGGTGGAGAAATCTCAACTGAGGCTTTTAAACCATCTATATGCATCAATGGGGTTTTGTATTACTTAGCTTTAACTTTGAGCTCGAGTGATTCGCCTCGTACTGCTGTGTTAGTTTGCTTCGATGTTAGGTCTGAGAAATTCAAGTTTATTGACACTGAGTTCTTTGCTTATATTCTTACATACTAAATTTATTAACTACAAAGGTAGATTTGGTGTGACTACTTGGAAGAATGATGGTAATGGCGGTATTGCTGAGCTGCGTTTGTGGGTCTTAGAGGATGTAGAGAAACAGAAATGGTCCAAAAATGTGTACACTTTACCGGCTATGAATGAACTTGTTTATGTCGCTGGAGCAACAGCTACAGGTGATATTGTTTTGTCGATGAGATATCGTACATGTAAACCATTTTATGTTTTCTACTTCAATCTCGAAAAGAACACTCTCCAGAGTGTTGAAATACAAGGTTTTGGAGAATACGATGATGGAAATAAATATAGCGTTTCTGTCTTTGTGTACTATCTAGAGGATCTAATTCTTAACGATACAAAGTATCGCAATTCGATCCAAGGTTAAAACCACAAAGAAAACTCTGCAACTATGCTCCATCTTTGAAGAACAAGCATCCGGCAACCATCCAGCTGAACAAGTACAAATTATTAGCAAACTTATAGTGAGGACATGTGCTGATTTGTTGTTGGCTAATCGAATCTTGGAGGCCAAGTTAAATTCATGTATAAGAAAGTGTCTAGCTGTTTTTGGCTGCGATTTCTCATTTACAGATTTGGTGTGAGCTGTTTTGTTCTTTCTGGTTATTCTGGTGCTACTTAGGAATTGGGAGCAAAATAGCAAACTAGTATTTGTTTATCATTGCGCTTCCTATAACTCGTTTATCATGTTATAAAGTTTTTTTTTTTTTTTTGTCAATTTGGTCACTTTTCGGACCTTTAATCCTCAAACGGAGGTAAGAAGGGGTCGAACCCCTAACGTCAGGGTCCGAAGGCAGAGCTCAATTGCCACTTGGCTACGAACAACCCGACATCATGTTATAATGTTTTTAAAACGTTCTTTTAAGACCTCTATAATATTCTTTGTTTTTTCTAAAACTTTGTTTATATGAAACTACTAGAGAAAAATAACCATTGTCTCAAATCTCCTACTTACAAATCCCATCAGAATAGTTGGATATTTAAAGCTGGAAGGAACATGTTTCAAGTGATATATTTTGTAGATAACATTTGCTAGGTTTATTGACGTGTGGAAACTTGGATAACCAAAATGCTAGAAATACACACTGAAGTTCCACATCTACTCGAGAGCATGATACTTAAAGAGTACAATCCCGAAGTGATATTCTCCACAAAGCCATTATGGAGAGTCTAGAGAAACTCGACCAGCCTGATCTCTTCGCTTATAATGCTTTGATTAATGGGTTTGTAAGATAAGTTGAATTGATGATTGATATGATGATGAGAGTTTCTCCAAAACGTGTTAATACTATGTATAGTTTAAGATTTAATATTAATGGTTAAAAATACGGTTATGAGAATCAATTCGAGATATTCAATCAGTCAAGTTAACAGCTGATTACTATATTCAATATAAGCATGTTTTTAAAAGATTATGTAGTTTATTTGAGTTTAAGTTTAGGTACTGTAACTTGTTTGAATTTACTTGTAACTCACGACGAAATAGACACGTATATAATTGAAGAAGTGCGACACGAAAAGTGAAATTCGTAATAAGCCATTTTCTCCTAGTTGGTGCATCAGAATTTCGTTTCAATTTGGCTTCCTCCGACTTTTGTTGGCAGGACTGGTTTTCTCACGGTTAGCAGGGTCCCTAGTGGTCCTGGACTGAAAGATTTGGGTTTCGCTCGGGTTAGAGCTTTGCGTCGTTTGTTTGTTTGCTTGCTTGTAGGATGATTCTTGGTTCTTTAAATGGGTTGTGTTTTGTGAAATTCAAGCTTAGCAACGCCTAAACTTAGCGTAGTTTGCAAAGGTCAAATCCTACTCATGAAAGCTAGCTAGCCCACCAAAACTAGTCTTGGTCATTTTAAGTATCTACGAACCAGGATTTTCCCCCAAGTTTATTACATCCACGTAAAATCTCCCACAAAGAAAAAAAGAGTTAACTTTCACTATAATGATCAGAAATTCAGAATAATCAAACTCAAATATCCTTAAAATCATGGATTAACCAGATCAAAACACTAACAAAGAGTGCTGAGTCTATACATAAACATTACATTACTAATACTTCATTCAGATTCCACATTTCCACTTCCTCTCCAATCTTACATATAGCTCAATATATATATAGAGAGATAGGGAAGCAACAGTACCATCATATCTTGACCTCCTTCGTTCTGGTCAAGCCCCGAACTCAAATGTCTAAATTCTCCAACTGAATGTTGCTCTTAAGAGGCACATAATCACCAAGATAGCCACCAAGATGATCATACAAAGCCGTCTTATCAATCGCTTGATGATGATAACTCTTGCACACGTAATAAAACACACTCTGAACCAGCAAACCCACAAGATTCACAACCACAAGAACACAAACAAGTAAACCACCGACAAGAGTCCTAGTCAAAGTCCCATACTTCTCTCCACCGTGAACCACAATCTTTCCAAAAGTAACTCCAATCAAGGCACAGAGGAAAAGATAAACAAAGACCAACCCCATAGCCATCTTAACCTTCCCTTTGAGAAGCTCATAAGCTTTTCTCATGGCAGCAAGTCCATAAACAGGTTCAAGAACAGAGATCACACTACCTAAATGCCACAACGCAGTGAAATAGACATGAACACCGAAGTAGAGAAGAATGATTAACAGCACGGCAATAGCCGCTAAGCCTACACTGTTCATATCAAGAGCTACGAATAGGATCACTAGGAAGACAAAGAAGACGGCGTTGTAAGCGAACATCAAGAGAGCAACCCAAAGGAAAGTGATCAAGAGCCGTTTAAAGACTTTGGGGATAGCTGAGATGGTGGAGGAGAAGGAGACTGGCTTCCCGGTGTAGAGAGAGGCGACGGTGAAGACGACGGCAGCGGTTGAGAGGAGAGAGAAGGCGAAGAGGAAGATGAGGTAGCTGAACTGGAAGATGAGGAGCTTGGTCAAGTCGTGGCGTGAACGATCGGAGTTAGGCGGGTCGGAGGTGTCGAGCTTGGCGAGAAGAGGCTGAGTGAAGAGGGAGTGAGCGAGGATGGCGAAGGAGAGAGGGAAGATGAGGGATAAGGTGATGAGGTAGAAGGTTCTCGGAGATCGTTTCTTGATTGAGATGGATTCTTGAAGGAGTTGAGGAATCGTCAAGAACTGGAGCTCTTCTGGCTGGAGATCCATGGCGGCTTGGTGGAGATCTGGTCAGAGAGAGAGAACACAGAGGAGAGATGATTATACACCGACGGGTCAATATCGAAATCTGAGAGGAAGATGATTAATCAAGAAGATGAAGACTTTTCTTGGAAACTTCTGGGAAACTCTTAAAACACGTTTATGTTTGTACCACTACTTTTTTTAAACTAATTCTTTTTGTTGCCTTTTTACCTTTTTTTTCTTTTTTTTTTTTTTTTTTTAATTCGCTTTATTTATGGTAAATTATGTAAAAATTGGTCAAGTCTTATTTCTATGAGCAAAGTTCTTTTTGCATGATGCTGAGACGCAATCTTGGAAACAGGACTTTCATATTTTAAGTACTTAACTTTTTTTAATACTTCCTCTATTTCTTATTTTAGATTTTAAATTTTATTTTTAAAAAATTGTCATTCTACGATCTCAATGTAATTTTATATATTAAATCTATTTTTATCCTTTTAAATAACCAATAGTATTTTATTTCAATTATTTTCATTTCACTAAACATACATTAAAAATAGATATATTAATCTATTATACAACTTTCTTAATTTATGTACAAAGTGTCAAAGTGACACTTATTTAGAAACATATGAAGTACGTACTTAACATTTTAATTGTTTGTTTTGTCTGTATCATTGGGAAATTTTGCTCATTTTGCTCAGTAGCCCAAATTATAAGTCAAACTAAATGTATGACATTGATATTGACATAATTTAAAAACTATCATTTGTATCTCATATCATACGTTTATACCTTATATTAAGGAAAATTGGGATAGATAGCCATGAAATAAAACATAACTAGGTATCTAGCTAAAAAAAAACACCCACCACTATTACTATAATATATATTATATTATCACTATTTGCCAGTTATTTGCCGGTTAATAAGTGTATATATACACTTCTTCTTCATTTACCTACCTCTCATATGTACTGTAAGTTTTCAATTATACTATGTTATTTTAATAAATGTATTTATTATTTCGTTGTTACTGTTCTATTTTATAATAATGATTCATATTATATAGGATGTGTATATTTTGATATTTGGGTTAGGGTTTATATTTCTATTTAGAGTTCACTGGCCAGTGTTTTGGGTTTAGTTTATGGTATGTTTGGATTGATGTTAAAGTAACTATTACATCATTCTCTACAATCAGACATTTTAAAACTTGAACAATATACTATGCTATGCTATTTCATTTGTTACTATTCTATTTTGACAATGTTTCATATTATGTACAATGTACATATTTTGATATTTGGGAACAATATACTATGCTATGCTATTTCATTTGTTACTATTCTATTTTGACAATGTTTCATATTATGTACAATGTACATATTTTGATATTTGGGTTATGATTTATATTTCTTGTTAGGGTTTAGAGTTTAATGATTAGTGTTTTGGGCTTTATTTATGGAAGGTTTGGGTTGATGTTAAAGTAACTATTACATCATTCTTTGCAATCAGACATTTTAAAAACTTGAACAATATATACTATGCTATTTTGTTTGTTAATATTCTATTTTGATAGTGTTCCATATTATGTACTATGTAATTTATGGAAGGTTAGGGTTTATATTTTTTATTAGGATTTAGGGTTTAGTGTACTGTATTAGTGTTTGAGTTTAGTTTAAGGAGGTTTGGATTCACACTGGAGTAAGCATTATCTCATTTTATGCAATCATAGATATTTCAAAATTTGAATTATGAATTATATGTACAGTAAAGCCTCTATAAATTAATAATGTTGGGACTTTGAAATTTTGTTAATTTATAGAGATAGTAATTTACAAAAAAAATTCCTTTAATAGATTTTTATCTTTTTGAAATATTTTTATTTATTAAATAAAATCATATTTAATTTTACGGTATATATATTCATAAAATTTTAGAAATTTTACTTTTTAATTATTTTATTATATTACTTAGTTTATATTTTTATGTTTCATATAGTTTATATGTGGTTTTTATATATAATTTTACTAAATATTATCAAAATATATTGAAATGTTAAGAAATAATACATGAATTTTCTTTGTGAATATAAAATCAACAATATAGTTTAGGTTATACTTATAAGAAATGTATATATAGATATATTATTAATTTATGATTTTAATGGGACAATATATTTACATATGAATTTCTAAAAAGTTATTATCTTATTATTTTATGTCATATTTTGAATCGGCCCAACTCAGGACCGAAAAAAATTATTAATTTATAGAGATTATTAATTTATCAAGTATTAATTTATATAGCTTCTACTGTACTATGCTATTTGTTTGATACTATTCTATGTTAATACTATACTATATTATATACTTTTAGTATATTTTTAATATTTAGGTTAATGCTTATATTTTTTTTTTAGGATTTAGTGATTATTATTTTAAAGTTAACCTAAGGAAGATTTGGATGTTCATTAAACTATTTTATAATTTCTTTAATATGAACTATATCATTTAACATGTTCTATTCTATTTATATAACATTATTAGTATCAACGTGGATGTTATAATCACCACAAGTCTAACAACGTTTTTTTTTTTCATTTAAGTGACATAGTATCACTGTCAACCAGCTTTAGAAAAAGAGAAAACCGGAAAGAAACGGGAAAAATGCTAGGAGATATTTAAATCAATACTATATTCTTAATTTTACTTTCAGAATTGTCTATTGAGTCAATTGGCCCAATATCCTAAAATAATAGTAATATTAGCTATATGTCTTTTCAATAAATTTATAGGTATCAGACAACATAAAAAGACAATTAAACCCTTGATGAACAATCGACAAATGAGTGAATGGAGGGGAGGAGATCGGAGGAGGAAGAGGAAGGAGGAGGAGGGGAGGAGATCGGAGGAGGAAGAGGGAAGAGGAGGGGAGGGGGAGGAGGAGAAGGGGAGGTGGAAGAGGAAGGAAGAGGAGGGGAGGAGGAGGAGGAGGGGAGAAGATCGAAGGAGGAGGAGGGGAGGAGATCAGAGGAGGAGGAGGGGAGGAGATCGGAAGGAGGAGGAGGGGAGGAGATCGGAGGAGGAAGAGGAAGGAGGAGGAGAAGAGGAGGGGAGGAGATCGGAAGAGGAAGGAGGAGGAGGGGAGGAAGAGGAAGGGGAGGGGAGGAGATCAGAGGAAAAAGATGAAAAGAAGAGGAGAGAGAAGAGATAAGGGGTAATAATGGAATTAAAAAAAATAGTGGCTAGGGTATATAGTTAATATTGCGATTAGTGGTGTGTATGCACTGCAATTTCTCTTGTCTATTTCATAAATTAACCCTTCAATTAATGCACGTTGCTAGTACCAAAAGAAGAGAGAGATGACACAATGATTTATGAAGTCAACTTTTTTTTTCTTTTTTTTTTGCTTGAACCCCTTTTGTGTTGTTGGAGATAATGTTGCCAAAATAATATATGGTAAATTATGCACTTATGTATGATGTCAACGAAATGAAATGTGGTCAATATTTATTGTAAACTATTCATACTTCACACAGTCAAACCGGAATGTTTTATTTCATATAAACAAAATAGTATAAGAGATCAACTCTATTCATACCCCAAAATAATAGGCATCTGATTTTAATACTAATATCATCAAAATAGAATAGAACTAGAAATCCATTAACATCTCGTAAATATTAAACTTTACTCCAAATCCCAACCCCTAAATACTAAACTCTAAACCTTAAACCTCAAACATCACCTTTCCATCTAAATAATATACCCTAAACCATAATTACAGAACCCTAAACCCAAATATAAACCCCAAACCTAAATATATACCCTAAACCCCAAACCCAAATATATATCCTAAACCCAAATATAATGTATATAATATGGTTTATTATTCACAAACCTCTATTTAGTAAATTTAAACCCAAGGTAGGAACCTATTTACCCAAATACAATATATACATTGTTTTTTAATATTAGATACTTGAAGGTATATTTACTTGGTTAGCAGGTTGCATATGTTCTATTCCATTCAATTTAAGTAGTATAGTAAACAAATGTTCTAAATAATCAAATTTGCCCAACACTCGAAAATGAATTTCATATTACAATCAGTTACACACAAAATGATAGAGAAGATAGATATCAAATTTGAAAATATGTCATATTATCATATTTTTAAGAAATAGTATAGAAATATGTCTCAGATAATATGGTAACCTTACATAAATAGCTACCCAAAAAGAATAAATACTATACTATTCTTTTCCTTGAATATAGTATAGACGGCGAGTTCATCTTCTTCAATTCTTTTTTTTTGAAACATGTTGATACACCTTCACTTCGTTCAATGTCGTTATTTTTCACCACCATATTGAGATTGTCTTCATCTCCTCTTTCTTTTCCGCCACAGCGACGCTTTTACCAGTCTGCCATCATTATTCTTAACTATTGGATCATTCACTACAAGAAAACATGTCCTTAACGACTATAGATATAGTAGCTAGTCGGTCGTAATATGGACATTACGACCAATTAACTTCCAAAACCGAATGGTCGTTATTCACTAGTCGTAATTCTATATAGAGACACATTGGTCGTAATATTACGACTAAATATATTAGTCGTACATTAGTCATAATATTTCAACTACAAGGATTGGTCGTAAGTTAGACGTAAAATTTTAGTCATAAACTTGACGTAAATTACGTCTACATATTAGTCGTCAACGGGTCGTAATGGTACCACTAAAGAACATCGAGTGTAGAGGTAACCTGGTCGTATAATAACGACTACATTACATCAACTGTAGATGTTCATGGGTCGTAAATTTGAGACCAATTTATGTCTCCTTTAATATATTTACGAAATTTATAGTTAAATTAAAATATAAATATTTTAATTTTTTTAATTTATTTTTTTAAAATTTGATAGATTTAAAAGAAAATATCTAATCATCATCCATAAAAAATAATTATAATATCCATAATATAAAATATTCAAAATATAAATTAATTGAAACTGAAAAAATAAGCATTAAGGTTTATTTCGTCGAAGAGATCGGAACCAGCCTGCTCCACACGCAAAAAAAAAAAAATTATCAACTATTTGGTAAGCATGTTTTTTCCTCCTATCAGTTCCATGAAAAAAGGAAACCATTCTTAGGGATATCTCCACACG